TGACTGGATCGTGGTAGCAGGAAGCGCCAAGATCCTGAGAAGTGAAAAGTTGTAACTACTGTACCTGAATGGGGGGGGAAGCAACCCATAGTTATATGCTGGGAAAGCTCATGGTAGAACATAAAATTTCCATTTTACAAAAATTACTCTCACTAAACAAAAGAGCTGATACAGCTGTTTGAGACTTCCTTTGTCTTAGAAGTTTAAGACATGTAGTTTGTGAGTATACGTGAATTTATTTCTTAACTATTCTGTGGCCTTCCTAATTTCAGATTAGGTGTCAAAACAGGTGATCAAACAGTGGCAATTACTTTTATTATTAATTATCTATTTTGCTGTAGTGGCTAAGATCCCCAGTCATAGATGAAGCCCCCATTGTACCAGTGCTGTACAAACACAGAACTAAAAGACAGTCCCTGCCCCAAAAGAGCTTACAGTCTAAGTGTAACACAAGAGACGGCTGTAGACAGAGGAAGGAGTACAAGTAAACAGTATTGGTCAGCTTAGTAGGCAAGAATAGCTGCACTTTCTTAACTAGCTGTAGTGTTTAACTCTCACTTTACCACATGTAAAACAAAGAGTGCACCTGGGATATCTGTCAATGTGCAAAATGTCTGATTTTCACAGGTTGATATTTTTTAGACAATATTTCTTTGTTGTTTTAGGTAATGAGCTACGGCCTGATTCATTAGCTGGTGGTCTGGAGCTCTATGGAGATCACAGACATTCTTCTGATAGATCCAGATCAGACCTAGAGCCTCTCAGATCTCCTATAAATTCTCAACACAGGTAAGTTTTTGTTACATAATTATTCTTTGTCTGAAAAGTTTTTTTCTACAATTAATACTAATGCACTTTAGGAGTGTGGGAATTTCACATTTTGATATGTAATATACTATATATTTGCTGTTCAAGTACTATATATACTAACCTTGTAGTGTCCAGCCTTCTGATGAACATAATGTTCTTCAGAAACCATCAACACTATTCATAAATCAGCTAATGGGGTTGCTTCAAAATTATGTAAATGCTTCTAGCACCTCATGCCAAGCCCTCATCTATGGACATTCAGAGCATCACCACTAGGATACCACAGTGAAATCCTAGCACTGTTGAAGTCATTGGGGCCAGTATTTCACCCCAGAGGCAAGATTTTTCACAGTACCTGCAGTCTTTCTCAACTTCAGATAGAGTTGTGGGTCCTCAGCACTTCTGAAAACAGGCTCCAATAGTTCTCAAGCTGTGGGATGTATTTTCACGTAGTGCCATGGACACTTCCTCTCCCACTACTGTACAAATAGTCTCCCCTCTCATTTGCAATCTCATAACCTATGGCAACTACACCAGTTGGTTACATGGAAAAGTATTTAATCTAGTTGTAGTTGTCTTTATTGTGGTTTAGCAGCTGGAAACTACAGAGGAGAACTAAAACCATACAGAGCTTCTTCAAACATCCTGCTTTTTCATAGAAGAATTTTTTAAAACAAATGTACTTGAAACTACTGCTACTTCTGCATGTTTTATGCAGTCTCAATAGGAGACTGACTTGTAGACTTTTGCCTCAAGGGAATGCAACAGAAATCTTGGGAATAGCAGGGAAGTCAGGCAGCTGAAGTTACATCTACACTGAAATAAAAAACAACCGCCCCTCAGCAGCACATCTCAGAGCCACAGACTCCAGCTCACAGGACTTGTGCTACAGCACTAAAAATAGCAGTGTAGACATTCCTGCTTGGCCTCTGGACATCCCCCGCCCCGCCCCGCCCGGCCAGGTTTCAGAGCCCCTAGACCAGCCTCTGAGACTCACTGTCATGGGTCTATTTTGTAGTGTAGATGTATCATGGGTGGGGTGGGGAGAATCATAGAATATCAGGGTTGGAAGGGACCTCAGGAGATCATCTAGTCCAACCCGCTGCTCAAAGCAGGACCACTCCCCAGACAGATTTTTACTCCAGTTCCCTAAATGGCCCCCTCAAGGATTGAACTCACAACCCTGGGTTTAGCAGGCTAATGCTCAAACCACTGAGCTATCCCTCCCCCCAGCATGTCCAAGAAACTGGGGAGCCAGGATGGGGGTCAGTTAAATACCCTCCGTAGATCACTGTGATTTTCTAAAAGTCAGCATATATGTATACTTAACATTCATAAGATGGCTGCTACATTCTCCTTTGGAAACAGGATTCCAGTACAGTAACTTCAATTTTTGAAACCTACAGCTCATTGTTTTTCTTCTGCTAGGTACCAGGGCATCCATGTTGATTTAAGCCCAGCTTCCCTTGCATGTTCTCAACTGCAGAATTATGATCCTGACAGAGCTTTAACAGATTATATCAATCGACTGGAGGCACTACAGAGGCGACTTGGAAGCGTACAGTCAGGTAAATACTCAAACTTTCCTCTTCCTGGTACAAAGACACAGAATACCTGTTCTGAGTTAGAAAGTATATGCTGGTTTCTCAGGTTCAGTCTTAAACAAAGGGGAAAACTCACAGCTGAACTCAAGGAGCAAAAAGCCCACTACATATGAGAGTGGTCAGAAACTATATAGGAATGAAACTGTTCAGTTATGTACTGAATAAATATGTGGTGTAGCTTTTGCTGGAACTGTCTAATAAATTTCCAGCAAGGTTTTAATCAACATCTAAGAAAGACAGGGGATTGGTTTTGTAAACTCTTTTGAATCAAGATTCCTCCTGTTTAATCAGCTTTTGTGCTGTTTGGCTCAGTTGCCTATTCCCATGCTGACAAGTACTGGATGACACATTGCAGCATTTTTATCACGCTTTCTGAAAAGGCTCTTCCAGTAAGAAATACCTCTGTTAACTTATCAGCTAACAGGATCCAAAACTTCTAGCCGTAACTGTTCAAAGTGACCCAAATCTAGTTTGATAAGAAGTCAAACCACTTTAACAAAACAGAACTTAGAAACAAGTAGTTTTGTTCTTGAAGTATATCTTTTACTTTATAGTACAATCTGCAAAGGTTACCTGAAGAGTCTTGCAGAAATGTCAGATAACTAATGCTGACTACAAGTCATCATCCAATTTCTCCAAGCACTTTAAGATTTTTTTTAATCTTACAGGTTCTACTTCCTACACTCATTTGCACTCTGGTGTTAGAAGATAATACCCTTTCAACATCTCCATCACTGGTAATGATGATGAATGAACTAACTTTTTGTAAATCTGTACTCCTTCTGTGCTTTTGTATAATGTGTATATTGTGGGACCAACATGAACATAGCTATATGATTACACAGTCCCCTTGCTGGTACATCCACGCAGACTGGAATTTATGTATATAGGCACTGTGTGTTCATTCAAAAATCATTAAATTACATGTATATTTGTGGAATGCTAATTTAAATGATTAAGTTATTAAAAAAAAAAGTGTGTATTTATCAAATGGGATGTCAGGAGATGAAGCTTGTGTATTTGATTGCTGAATGTGTAGCTCAAAGTGTACTGCACTTTTTCTGACACAGCTACTGAAGTTACACAATTCTGTCCTAATATATTTGCTACTGGCAGTGCAGACAGAATATATCACTAGTAGAGACCTATTTTTGTAAGGTAGAAGTTTTGAATTTTATGGGTATTTTGTCAAAGTACTGAAATAAAGATGACTTCATCCTTTTAATTGTTGTTTCAGGTTATTTTAAGTACAGGAGTATTTCTCGTGCACACTATTAAAGGGTAACTAAACCCTGACTCTTGCCAAAAAACAACAAAAATGTACTCTCACCACCTTTCTTCCTGGTTTCAGCTTCAGGGGTAGGCAAGAGGATTCATGGTAAGCACTGGAGCGCTGCCAGCAGCTGCCTAGGGAAGAAGTCCAGACTCAGCATGATGTTCTACTACAGTAAATAATTGGGAATTAATTTTACTCAGCCTCTATGCAAGGGGAGTTTCCTAAGGCAACAGCTCGCCAGATAAGAGCTTTATTTTATATTAGCTAGCACATCCCTATTTTTAAACACTGAGATTTTCACTTTGTTATGGCCACAAAGTTTTGTTACTAACTACACCTCCACCTCGATATAACGCTGTCCTCGGAAGCCAAAAAATATCTTACTGCGTTATAGGTGAAACCGCATTATATTGAACTTGCTTTG